ATACGAGTGTCACATTATTTTTATCCATATATGACACGTACGAGAATTTTATGGAGGTAATATAATTGTACAGAGTTTTTTAGGACAAAAAATGACTATAGAATTTAAATTGGCATAATATAAAAAATATAAATTTTTTTGGGAGATAATCTGATTGTATAGGAGTTTTTAAGGTAAAAAAATAAATATAAGGTTTAAATTGTCATAATATGCAAAATAAGTACAGGGTTTAAATTGCCATAATATACAAAATATAACGTTTTTTTGGACATAATCTAAAAGTACAGGGTTTTTAGGATAAAAAAAAAGTAAAAGGTTTAAATTGTCATAATATGCAAAGTATAGGGTTTTTGTGGCCATTTACCCTTTATATTAATGAAACTAACTCATATATTTATAAAAAATTTATTATGAAAAATAAAAAAGAAATATAGATGCAGAAAAATACACAATAGTATGTCTGTTATTGTTTCCAATCATATCTAAAAGTTATTCACATCCAATCACATTTATATTTATTTATGTATTTTAACAGTTTGGATAATCCGACTAACGCATGAATCCAACCCATTGGACCGTCCAAATCACACACGAGTAAAATTGGTCTATGAAAATTTGCAACTTGCAATGCCTATGATATAGCTTTTCAAGCTTAGACTGAGTATTTTACGTAGAAAACATAATTGATAGATCATATTCGAATATGGACCTAAGTCGAGAACATGGTAGATAAAACGATAACGTAAACGTAATATTTGTAGGATTTTTGAAAATTTATATATTTTTAGTTCATTCATGTAATATATATATTAAGCATTTATATGGGATTCTCTCTCTCTCAAATATGTCATCATATCCATAACTGTAGGGGAAATTGCTACAAAATTATACATAATATATTATTTTAATTGCTCGGTGAGGGAATTATATGGCGAAAGGATCACGATTAATGCATGATCTAACACAATTCCGACATAATCACGAAATAAAGAAATACAAATAATACTAGCGAAAAGAAAAGAGACAAGATCAATGATGGGACAGTGTAAATGAAACGAGGGAAGTGTTCAGGCGTTTCCAATGTTCGCCTCTATACATTTCAAAAACGAAAATTTTAAACAATTTATTGCTATATTTTTTTCCCAAAATATTCTATGTAAAGAGATATGAAGAAGATTTGAGAAGATTAGTAATATTTAGATTTGATTTTATTTCTATATTTTAGATATTTATATTTATTAAATAAGATATTTTATGATTTTGTTTCTGCTATAAATATTATAATGTTACATGTTGAATAATGAGAAATCCAATGATTCTCCATCTCTTTCTCTATTATGGTATCAGAGCTTCGGTTTTTGTTCTAAATATTTTTTTTTTATATATCAACGATGTTCGTTGAATCCGAAAACGATGATGAAGATGACGATGATATACTAACTTCAATAGTATCATCACCTTGAGTATCGTCTTCCATTCATTTTTTTTTCTATTTTTTTTCCGACGACGGTGTTTATCACTGTCAACCCTAGCTGATGTGCTACTCTTTTTTTTTTCTGCCGACCTCATTGTCGTGCAACCCAACTCGCGCATATGCGCCGCACATCCGTGCCACATCAGCCTTTGAATCCGGCTTTTAACCTCTTCGATTGGAATACTCCGATCGTCGATCCGCACATTTGCGCCATCTTCTTTTTTTTCGGCTTTAGCCGCGTGCATTTGCACCATTTATTTTCTTTTTCCGGCATAACCGCTAAACCATCGCGCCTTTTGCGCTGCCGACATTGCTGTCGCGCAATCCCACAATACCGTGCATGTGCACCACGCTTCTGCTTCACCGGACTTTTTCAGATCCGCCAACAATCCACCGATTCCTAGGTTCGATTGTCAAATCCCGTTATTTTCTGGAGAATTCAACCTCAAGCAGTTGTTTCTCATCTCCTTGAGTTTGAGGGGGCGTGTAAAGAGATATGAAGAAGATTTGAGAAGATTAGTAATATTTAGATTTGATTTTATTTCTATATTTTAGATATTTATATTTATTAAATAAGATATTTTATGATTTTGTTTCTGCTATAAATATTATAATGTTACATGTTGAATAATGAGAAATCCAATGATTCTCCATCTCTTTCTCTATTATTCTACATGCATGGTTCGTTTCTAGGCTAATTAACTGTTTATTAATAAATTAATTACTGTTTAACTTGATTAAAATATTATGAAAAAGATTTGTGAAGTTAATATTTCCGTAATATTTAGATTTAATTTAATTTTTATGTTTTAAATATTTATATTAATTCAGTAAAATGATTCTATTTATCTATAGATATTGTAATGTTTTATATTAAATAATGACAAATTCAATGATTATTCACTTATTTTCTCTATTATGATATTAGAGTTTGCACGATTAAATATCGCGAGCTTCTTTCAATTGGAAAACTCTGATTGTCGATTTGAACATTTGCGCTATTTTTTTTATTTTTTATTTTACTATAGTTGCACGCATTAGCATAACTCTTTTTTGTTAGCTTTAACCGAGTGCATTTATCACCACCAGTTCATCATGCACTCGATAACCAGAACTCTTACGGCATTACGTCGAACAGGTTATACGTAATCTCTAATCGTACGCTCGTTAGAACCCAGATATTAAATTCAGACAAAGAATTTCCGAGAATTTGTGTTTACCCATTAGAAAAAGTAGAAAACTTTCCTTGAATTCGATCGGAAAAAGACTGCAAATCCGAAACATTCTTCAAAATAGCAATATATATCTAATCAAAGATTGTAATCTTTCGTTTATAACTAGACACAAATTTTGATTTTGCTAGCATTAGTTGTAAATACTTTAAAATTCTATGTGATTTCAATTTTTCACCTGGGATTTGAAGAACAATCCACAACTGTATACATTGCCAACGAGAGAGGATAGAATTAGGTTTTTATTATACCAGATTTATTATTATTTCGAACCTATTTTATTAAACTGAGTTTTTTAAATCTGGTTCTCCATACATAGTACAAAATTCTGACATATTTTCACATCTCAGTACCACGTAAGATTTTATAATAGTATTATTTTGGTCAATTTAGTTAAGAATCAATATGACACTTTTAAACAACTTTAAGAATTATTAAATCATTTTTTTCAAGTTTAGGAATAATTAGACACAATGAAAGTATATAAATTATTTTTCCACCAAATTGCAAGTTTGGAAATTTTTAGGAGTTTTTTCCTAAAAATTATAGTATCACTTTTTTTAAGTTTAGAAATAATTACATATAATAAAAAATATAAAAATTAATATTTCACTTGTTTACAAATTTGGAACTGTTATTAGGTTTTTCCTAAAACTCTACAAGTCATAAAAAAAATCCCTCTTTTTTTTTATATGGGAGTCGAGTCGGTGATGCCATGTACTCAAAAGATTATATCAGGAATTAGACAGTCAGATTTAAATGTCCGTTGCATACTTAAATAAGAACCGAAATAAAAAATGGCTTAGAACGATTCGGGTACAGTTTATAACATATTTATAATTCATATAATATAAAATTAAAAAAATCCAATAAAATAATTTTGGACAACAAAATAAAAGTCTTGAACTTGATATAAGTGTAAAGAAGTTCAACATAATAATTTTGAAATTTCTAAAAATATGTTCAAAATTTTAAGTTACTCTTTAAAAAAGATGAATTTTTAATACCTATAATTTGAACAAAACACATAAAAATTTGGTAAGATACAAATTTTAAATATTTTTTTCTAACATTTATAAAAAGACAATTTTTTCAATATGTGTAAAAAGATATTTTTTGAACACTTACTTGAAGCCTTTGATCTCAGAGAATGACATGAAGTTGTAAGAGAAAATGTTTTTACTAATTACAGGTGATAATAGTCGAAAAAATGTGAGAGAATACATAACTTTGAGTTAAAGTTAATAAAAACAAACAATTTATTGGATTTGGTAATTGTAAACAAAATAAATATCACTATTAATTATTATTAATAAGCAAAATAAACATCAATCCCAATGTATACGGTAAACAAACAATTACTAATATTTAGTAAATATCATAATCAACTATTAATATTAAATATTTTTAATTAAAAAATAAAAATACCCAAATACCGTTCAATATTTCTCGAACCGAACCGAACCATTTGATGTCTTAAATTTTGTACCGTTCAATATTTTTATATAATACCGAACAGAATCGAAACCGAATTAATCGATTCGGTACAGTTCGGGACCTGAACCGAATTACCCACCCCTACCCGATCTCCCTCTATTTGTTTTTTTTTTTTTGGGTTGAAAACTAGGTTGGTGTATTTTCATGTGTCATGATACTTCATAATCTAAGTCTTACAAATATGCCTACAAGTGTAACCTATGCACTAGTAGATACATATCAAAGCCTTACAAATATGCCGACAATATATATATATATATATCAGATATGTCTAGATCATTCCCCAAACGCAAGTTTGACTTTTCAACAGTCTTTTTTTTTAATGCCATTCATGGCGATTACAAAAACAAATATTACCACGTTTAATTTATACACACGACGACGCAAGAGCACAAAAATTTCACATGTAGCCATAGAGAGCTTCTCAAGCTCCCATCGTTTTCGGCATTTAATTTATTGAACTATCAACTCATCTCCTCTCCACTATAAAAAGGGTCTTTCAGATTTCTACCTCGCTTTCATTTCACTTCGCGTGTTCCTTCTTCTCTCTGTATTTCTCCCACATTTTACCTCCCTACCCAAAAAAGCTATCTGTCTTCCAAAAACATTGGGAGAAAAAGAAACACAACAGGAATAACCAATTTAACCGAATCTTTGTATTTGACATGTTTGGTAAAACAAATGTATACATTATGTATATACTCCCTTACTCCAGCACGTCCGTACAGTGTACTCTCGTCACGACTTTTGACAGAGAATAACTGTCGCTGCACACTCACTCTTCCATCTCAGAGCAAACAAGAAACCTGGGAGAGCTTGCTGCTAAACCAAGATTCCAGCGACTGGACCGGTTTGACACAGGTTAAGCTTGGCCGGCGATGGATGGAGTACCAGGGACTTCGCAACTGGACCGGCCTTTTGGACCCCTTGGATGAGAATCTTCGCCGCGAGATTCTCCGGTATGGTCAGTTCGTCGAAGCTGCGTACCAGTCCTTCGATTTCGATCCCTCTTCTCCAACATACGCCACGTGTCGTTTCCCCAGGAGCACACTGCTTGAACGGTCCGGTTTTCCTGGAACCGGGTACCGGTTAACCAAGAATCTCCGAGCGACTTCCGGTATTCAGTTGCCAAGCTGGATTGAGAAGGCTCCGAGCTGGGTGACGACACAGTCCAGCTGGATTGGCTACGTGGCAGTCTGTCAGGACAAGGAGGAAATCTCGCGGCTCGGTCGGAGAGACATCGTGATCTCGTTCCGCGGCACTGCCACGTGTCTCGAGTGGCTCGAAAACCTCCAAGTCACGCTGACCCATCTTCCCGAAGGATCGGGCACACACGGGTCGGGTTCTGGGCCAATGGTCGAGAGCGGTTTCTTGAGCCTGTACACCTCTGGGACCCACAGTTTAAGAGACATGGTAAGGAACGAAATCTCAAGGCTTCTCCAGTCGTACGGAGACGAGCCGTTAAGTCTGACGATCACCGGACACAGCCTCGGCGCGGCATTAGCCATACTGACGGCATACGACGTAAAGACAACGTTCAATCGAGCCCCGATGGTTACCGTTATCTCGTTTGGAGGTCCACGTGTCGGAAACAGAAGCTTCGGGGAACTTCTAGAGAGACAAGGAACCAAAGTGTTACGCATAGTGAACTCCGACGATCTCATCACGAAACTCCCCGGAGTCGTCGTCGTTGACAAGGACGAGGAAGATCGGTGTAACAGCAGGAACGTGGAAACGGCAACGGCGTTAACGTCAACATTGCCAGGATGGATACAGAAGCGCGTGGAGGACACGCCCTGGGCTTACGCGGAGGTTGGACAGGAGCTGCGGCTGAGCAGCCGATATTCCCCGTACGTGAACAGCATCAATGTCGCCACGTGTCATGAGCTGAAGACGTATCTGCATTTGGTGGATGGGTTCGTGAGCTCCACGTGTCCGTTCAGGGAGACGGCGAAGAGGGCCGACCTCCATTGATAACAGGGATATGATCCATCATCAAACATTCCTCCATCTCCTGTCATGTCATGCCGTGCCTAGTGCTTATCTAGCTGTATCTATCCAACAACCCCCTCCTATCAAAATTGGAGAAGCCACGTGGGTGCCACGCCATATGTAAAGACCCGACATTTTCAAAGCACATTTTCGAACTGGCAAAGCCAAGCATGTATCCATTAATGACAGGGATAATTCCATTTAAAACCCGGTACACTTTTTTCGTCTCAATTTAAATCTTATACTTTTTTTTATCCAAAAAAATATTATATTTTTAAAAATTGGTAATTAAAACTCTATACTTTTAAAAATTGGTAAATAAAACCCAAAAACAATATTATTTAATGCTGACATGGCATCCTAATCATCTGTCACATCATCAATCCCTAATATTTAATAATATTAATTAATAAAAAATAAAAATAAAATAATAATAAAAAAAATAAAATTTTAAAAATTATATATATTCATAAAATTATACACATATATAAACATGTTTATAAAAATTTTAAAATTATATTCATATATAAATATATTTATATATACATATATACATATATATACATATGATACATATATATCTATATATGTGTATAATTATTATATGTTTTATATGTATGTGTTATATATGTATTTTT